ATAGACGCATGTCGAAACTATTGACAATTGAAACAGTGTAGCAAGTTTGGTATGTAAGGTCGACCCATCAATGGGTAGAAAGGTGCCTGAATTGTTTTTGGAAGAGCTCGAGTATTAAAAGTGAGTTGGCTGTATATATCTTAGAGGCGAACACGCAGTTGTTGCACAGTTTCTGCAAGGTGTGATCGCCACCTGTTTGTCTCTTCAGACTTGAGAAATATAACTGCAAATGGTTATAAAAAATACTGTAGAAATATATAGAGAAACGCGAGGGGAAGCGTAAAATAGTACAAAGTAAGGGGCTAAAATATGAAACAAATTCATTTAAAAATCAGGTGTTGGGTTTTAAAAAATACTCACACACATCTAGCATATTTTTTCTTGCGGATTTTAAATATACAGGGTACGTCAAAAAAGTAGATTTTGATATCAAAGTTGATTTTTTTAATTGAACAGTATTTTTTTAAATCCATTGTCGAATTCTGTGCCAAATTCTACGACCAATAAAAATAATTCAAAAATGGATTTAAAAAAATACAGTTTCATTTCAACACTTAGATCATTATTGGCAAACAATTTCTGTTAAAATACAATTGAAAAACGCCTTGGGGCGGGCTCAGACATATTTACCCTTCTATCTGTGACCTTGTAGTAGATACACAGCATACATAAGAAATTGTAATTGCCATGTTGTCTCTTTTTCTCCTATGAAACAAAACCAGTACAATATTTAACAAAAGCCGTGGCAAAAGTAAAGTGAAAACCCAGAGGAAATTAAAGATTTAAATTGCCCTATTAACAACCAACTATGAATCTTTGCCACCCAGGAATTTTCTCGGTAACACACCTGGTCGGGACGTAGGTGAAAGATCATTTCAACCACTAAAACTCACTTGAAATGCAAATACCTCGGCAAATACATACAGAATTCTACAACTTCACATTTTAATTTAGTATTTTCCTGATACATTACACTTCCGGGACCATCAGTTTTTGTTGATAACACAGTCTATTTCATTCATCAAATATGTGGGATAATCTAAAGATAAAAGTTTGAAAGAGATATGCAAACAAAAACCACAATGATAAGGTATTTAACAAAAACTCCAACAAACCACAATTTTCCAATTTTTTTGTTGTGTTTGCTACTTGAACGATGGCAAGAGTTCCAGTGTTTTGAGATTTTTACTGTTCTGAGAAATCAATGAATATTCGAAAATATACTCCCAAAAAGATATTGAAAAATTAAAACATTTTCGAGTCATTACAGATAATTTATGCTAGGTAAAACTATCGAACAATTAATTCCCAATTATGATAATACTACGCAACTTTTGGTAAATTATCTGCGTATTGTGGTGTTGTAAATTGAAACCTAAAAACCAATTGCTAATGAATTCAGAATTAAGCTTTGTATAACTACGACTTTTAGACTTACATTTACAGATATCTCTTCAATTTATTAAAGTAATGGATCACATACTAATTGTGAAATACTTACACAGACTTCAGACTCTGATATATATCCTCCTCTTCACGAGATTGAACATTTTGAGCAGAAAATCCACTAAACATCTTTGATTTAAAAAAAAGTAAAATCCAGAAGAAAACTTACGGTATATTACTCTTCAAAGACTTGGGACTTAGTGACAGCTTGGAGATGGTGCATAACACTTTATGAAAATTTGTTAGATCAAATAGCATCAACTCCTCAAACAAATCTGATTCCTTAATTCCGAAAGTGACATTGCAAGTCCTTAAGAATAATCGTATATTTCTCAAGCACAAAAACTGAAATTGAACGTGTAACATCTGTGGAGATCCCTAAATTAAACTAACCTGTGCCATTGCCGGCTTTAAATTAACATCCTTCATGTCAATGCAACCGGGATCTATCTTATTAAGTAACGTACAAAGTAATACACCATCCCGAAGAGTATTGGCAAGATCAACAATTCCAGCATTAGGCCAATTGGCTCTGTGATCACTGCGTAGGACGTCCCATTGTGTCAGCCAACTAGCACACTCGCGCCAGAGTTCGTCACTGGTTACATAGGCCGTGGCCATCTTTTCCCAGTTATATTAAAACATAATCCTCTTAAAATGTTAAACAGTAGTTAAAGGAAAACATGTAAGCCACCTTTTACCTGGATTAGGTTTACTTTATCGTTGCTAGTAATCATATCTTCGTATGACGTTTTTATCAAATTAGGTGGAATAACAGCACAAAATGGAATTGCAATTCCATAACACTTTAGTTTTTAGGTCGTTCTTACAGGCCATAAATAAATAAATAAAAATTACTTATGTAGTTGGATTGCAATAAATAATCACAGAATCCAACCTAAAACAGCGTATATGGCACGAGCTCTACAATACCGATCGATACGCCCATGGAAATATTCTAAAAGTGGTTTTACACCATCCACACCCATTTATTTATGCAGCGTGTACACTGTACAGCTTTTGAATACGTCATTGATTATACACACATAATCAATGAATACGTTAATCAATGGCATTTGTTTTACAAGATATGCTGATCTGGTGGGGCAGAATGGACCCCTTAAGGCGTGTTGTAAAATTAATGGATGCGTGAAGATCTCCAAGACTGTTTGGTATTCAGTTATATCAGATCTTTGTGCTTATAAATTTATAGGTACCTACGTTAAGAATAGGTTGTGCATGCGCAGTGCTAACTTTCTTATTTGCGGACGGATATTGCTGAAAACGAATTTGGCTGGAGTAACTATTTTTTTCGGACAAAGACTGTTAGTGTGGAAATGCGATTTTTTAAAATCGTGTCTTCTACATGTTGTCTTAACTCCTCTTCCAATGCGTCTTTTTACAGCCAACTCTGATTTTTTCTTTTTGTTTCATATATACACGTTTCGTATTAGGCGTCTTTCTCTCCAGTTGACACCCTTTTCTTTATTTCCAACAGTTTCTCTCTTTAGAATGTCAACAAAAGCTACACAGGTCTTTCCCTTTTCCAAATACCTTTCGCCGATCGTTTTCACCACTCCTATATAGCGGATAGCCTATAGGTAATGCGTCTCTGGTGCCCATTCCTCTTCTGAATACAAATTGTTCCTCTGCCATATATTCTCCTCTCTAAGTTTGTTAAGCTTTCTATTCAATATTTTCAATTTCATTAATATCTTTGTTGATTGTTCTACATATATTCTGAACATTTGCGTACCGTGCTTATTTATGTAGAGACTAGAGAGTAGAGCCACTATTTCTGAACAGAGATTTTATTACAAAGAGTTTTCGCTGTGTTCGTAATCAATGCGTGACCGTCAGAGTTTTCCAATGAAACAGTATGAACTCTCACGTTTGTCTAAAATGCGTTTAGAATAAGATGCAGAATACGAAGTGAAAAAGGTCCTGCCCAGTTCTGTACCCAGAATGAAGTAGCAGTGGTGGCCGGTATTTTTCTAGAGGGGCTTAAGAAGTTTTTGATAAAAACTTCCTATGTAATTTTTGTAAAGGAACCATCAACCGTAATTTCCAGTGGGGCCCAGCCCCATCTAGCCACCCCCTGGCTGCGGGCTTCGGCCTGCTTCTGCCATTTGAAATAACAAAGTTAGTGTCGGCTTCTGGTTTAAGTGGATGCGAAAATTAAGTCATAGGTGTCGTAAAGTTAAAAAAAATTCTCTTGACACTGTTTCCAAAAAACTATTGGTCGTGAAACGACAGTATCCGACTTCACCTACCGATCACGGTCGAGTACAGTACGAATTATGATCGTCACCGCTGTTTCTTCTGAGCTTCTGCTTGAGCGATAAACTGGTAACTTCATACCCATAACAAAACATAAGCATTTCCAATGCTAAAACAAATGAGGTACCTAATTGTATTGCAAAGACAACCAATATTATCTGATCGATTACACGAATTTTCTTTTCAACACAACACAACACATGGCAACGTTGTCTTACCTACAGCATCCCTCCCACATGGCGTTAACACTCCTTTTCCTATTTTCCTAAAATTTTGTTTAGTTCAGCTTCAGCTTCAGACGCGTGCGCTATGGAGCCGTTCCTTGCGTGATCGTGTCTGACATAACCTACCTACACTCTACTAGTCTTATTTTGGATGTGATGTGGTTAGTTTGTTTAGGTATAATCGTAGTTTATTGGAATATCGTTTAATTTGTTACATACTCGCTTTTGTTTAGTTTTTACCAAATGTATTTTAACAACCTGCACCTTTAATTAAATAGTTGGATCCTGTTTACCTATAACTAAACTGATTAAATTAAAACGTGCCGGTGCATTAAAAATGTTTTCATTTATAAGAATTGTTGCTGTATTTACCATAACACTTCCTTATACAATTCAGCAGCAATTTTTTGAAGAAAGTTACCGTACATGTGAATTTGAAAATGCAGCCGACAAAAAAACAATCACAGTTCCAAAGTAAGTGCTTCCTCATATCCGCTAATCGTAAATTAAACTTCTGAAATTTTTAGTCAAGTGTGGAATGTTCAGGGTTTAAACAGACATAAGGACGTGCTCATCAAACTATCAATATGCGACTTAGGGTCTTCTATTCCCGATTGCGATGTAGGGGCGACTGTATGTACAGTGAACAAGAAGAAGAATCGCTACATTATCAAAAATGCGGGTACTTCTTTTATTTATACCAAAGATGGTAAGTTACTTTTTATTTACGATTGATTTTTTCCCAAAGCAGACCACGAGAAATATCTCTTCAATTCAAAATGCAGGCATAAACAATTATAGTTTTGGGTTTACAAACAATGAAACAACTACAATACACGTATTTATTCTGGTATTTTTTTAATTTTGGTACGTGGGCTGCAACAATTGCCTTAATTTCATGCTGATTGCATAAATGATTGTCGGAATAAGCGCACCGCGAATTTGTGTACCTGGGTATAGCTAGGTATAGGTATCAATAACAAAAAATTGACTTCCGGTCTCCGGAGGGAGAAAACATGCTTCACCAGTACGCATCTAGTGATCTAGTGTGTAGTGCTTTTTTAAAATGCGCATTGTTGTCAACACATATTTCAGCTGAATCTATTTCCGTTCTCTATATTTTTCAGTTTACTCATTTAGAAGACGAATGTCAAAAAGGATATGCAAATTTCCCAAATTGCATACCATACCGTCATCAGTTACTTTGTTTATTTCAAGAAAGCAACGTTAACAATCTTTTGAGCAGGTGTGGGTGAATGGGTAGATTAAAAGTATCCTCTTTTGGAATAATTCTTTCTTTCTTCTTTTGTCATATTCAAATAAATGCCCAATTTGCAGATGTAGTGCAGACGTTGGTACTTATGCATATTTGAGGGTTGTATGGTTAGATTAGAACTTCTAGTATTGTAGCGAATTTTGTAAGAACCATCAAGGTGGCATAAAGTCGATTCCATCTCTAGAAGCTGTATAACCAAATTGAAAAAATCGTTGAAAATACTCTCATGAGTCATAACACATGCTGCGTCCGTCGATTTTTTTGATCAGACAACTGAAGATTTATTTTCTAGTACTGCAACCATTTATTCATTCCCTTGTGAATTGATATTATATTCAACCCAGCGCAATATTCCTATATGTATCGATGAGGATAAAGCAATTTTATAAACAGGAAGGTATGAAAGCTAAGAAAGCTAGTGCAGAAAAAAAGAAGCTATCTAAACTATGTAATAGTTAAATGAATATTATTATGTTACTCAACTGGTTAATACAAAATTATTAATTCCTGAAATATTCATAAATAATATGCATGTGTTTTCATTTCATGGAAAGTTTCGCCCTCCAACCAAATTCTTAAAAAAGATCGCTACTGTAGATACATCTAAACCTTGATATTTTTACAATCAGAAGTATGTGTATGTATTACATATTGATATCTACTTCATAGTGACATGACCATTCCTACACAGTTTTTATACGATAATGGACAGAAACACACAACTTTGGTAGTAAACAATGTAACGTGCGAATGGATTACGTACATATAAATGCGTTCTGAAGCGGACGGAATTTGCTCTCTTTCTCTTGCACATTTCAGGCCGGTAACGGCGTACATGCTAGACGCACTCGCCGTATCACCAGTCTATACCACCGTGTTCCACACTAGGGACCGACAAGAAATCCAAATTCCAACTTTTTAGAGACAAATTATCCAAATAATTTGGATTGTTTTCGTCAAGATATCCAATTTTTATCGACAAATTATCCAAGTCCAAATAAAGCGACAAAATATCCAACCAATTTGGAAACTCCGATTTGGATATCTTGTCTGTGGCGCGACAAGATATCCAAATACCGAATTTTTTTAGACAAGAAATCCAAAATTTTTGGACAAAATATCCAAAAAGTTCGGAAATTTTTTGACAAGATATCCAAACTTTTTTAGACAAGAAATCCAAATTTTATTCAAGCCCTTTAATCACGTATGAACCTTGTGCAGTACGAAACATTTCAGTTTCAGTGTTAAAGCAAATGCTATGGCATTTAGTATGTTCTCATACAGCGTCAAAGAATTAGTGCCTACCTTGTAATAAATGAGTTATTATTAAACTACACTACACTAAACGCTGTATAAAAACTTACTGAATGCTAATTGCTATGCCGTGTTTTAGCACTGAAACTGAAATGCTGATACGGAATTTTTCGGACCACACAAGGTTCATGCCTGATTAAAATTATAATTAATAAACCGATACAACGAAATATCGAAGGATCCTCAGTATTACAATCACTTTTAACGACAATTTATTTTAATCTTACAAAATACATTTTATAGTTAACAAAAATGCATCAAATTCATGTCTTTGGGCTTTGAGATAATGCTCTTGGTTTTTTTCCCAACGATCTTGGTGCATAAATAACGATTTTGACATGTTTTGATCAAAATCCATGTGGTCCATAAAAATAGATCAAATTCATGTTTAGATCATTGAGATAATGCTCTTGATCTTTTTTCCAACGATCTTGGTGCACAAATAACGATTTTGACATGTTTTGATCAAAATCCACGTTTTCGCCAAAAATTCATCAAATTCATGTCTTGGGCATTGAGATAATGCGCTTAGTCTTTTTCCCAACGCTCTTGGTGCATAAATAACGATTTTGACATGTTTTGATCAAAATCCACGTGGTCGCCAAAAATGCATCAAATTCATGTCTTGGGCATTGAGATAAGGCGCCTAGTCTTTTCCCAACGATCTTGGTGCATAAATAACGATTTTGACATGTTTTGATCAAAATCCACGTGGTCGCCAAAAATGCATCAAATTCATGTCTTGGGTATTGAGATAATGCGCGTAGTCTTTTTCCCAACGATCTTGGTGCATAATTAACGATTTTGACATATTTTGATCAAAATCCATGTGGTCCATAAAAATAGATCAAATTCATGTTTAGATCATTGAGATAATGCTCTTGATCTTTTTTCCAACGATCTTGGTGCACAAATAACGATTTTGACATGTTTTGATCAAAATCCACGTTTTCGCCAAAAATTCATCAAATTCATGTCTTGGGCATTGAGATAATGCGCTTAGTCTTTTTCCCAACGCTCTTGGTGCATAAATAACGATTTTGACATGTTTTGATCAAAATCCACGTGGTCGCCAAAAATGCATCAAATTCATGTCTTGGGCATTGAGATAAGGCGCCTAGTCTTTTCCCAACGATCTTGGTGCATAAATAACGATTTTGACATGTTTTGATCAAAATCCACGTGGTCGCCAAAAATGCATCAAATTCATGTCTTGGGTATTGAGATAATGCGCGTAGTCTTTTTCCCAACGATCTTGGTGCATAATTAACGATTTTGACATATTTTGATCAAAATCCATGTGGCCTCAGAAAAATAATTTAACATTTTTGAATCACACACATGCGGTTATCAAACGTGCACGTTATCAACTCTTTCAGCATCAAGATAATGCGTTTGAAAGCTTTTACAACTCTAAATTCATGTGTAAAGAATAATTTGGGTACATTTTGCTCTAAAACTTTTGACCGAGACCACAGAGAAGAGTTATATTGAATTGTTACACATCTAAGAGTCATAGGGAATAATCTAGCGAAAGTCCGAACTCGATACATGACCTAGGGAATGAAATATGTTAATTTTTATTATATTGAGTTCGCAGTTTTCCCTGTTCCCGATTCACTCGAAGTCGTATAACTTTTGTTCCTGTTGAACCAGCTTCCTGAAAATCAATAGCGTCCGTTCTTAATGTCCAACGTACCCGTATACCAAATTTCAACACAACGGCCACTTTTAAAAAGAGTTAGAGCGCACACGGACGGACGGACGACAATACAAAACTATAAAGGATCTGAGGATCCTTAATAAGTACTTTTAAAGCAAAGCACTTTGACAAGCACAAAGCTCTCACGCTGAAATAACTGCTGTTAAAAACGTATAGGTAATGATCAAATACAAGAAAAAGCGGCGTACATTTATCTATTCGAAAATTGGATATCTTGTTGAAAACTTTCCAAACTTTTTGGATTTCTTGTCTAAAAAAAATTCGATATTTGGATATCGTGTCGCGCCACCGACATGATATTCAAATCGGAGTTTCCAAATTGGTTGAATATTTTGTCGCTTTATTTGGATTTGGATAATTTGTCCCTAAAAAGTTGGAATTTGGATTTCTTGTCGGTCCCTTCCACACTAAGCAGGTGGAACCATTTTGTTCTTGGTATTCATCAACTTCTAAGGATGTTTGATTTTGCTGTTCCCAATATTTATCAGCTTGTAATTTTAATTTGATATTAAGAGGAATCAGGACTCCGTGTATTAAATGCCTAAACATCTCTACGGTGTCCCTATAAATTTAAAGTATGACAAAGGTATTTTCGAGGGTATTTTACTGATGTGTTGATACCGATTCAGCAAGAATGCCGCCGTGCTTCTCTAATGCCATTTTTTTTAAAAACAAACGAAAAAAACAAAATATATGGCGTTAAAGTTGCGACATTTTAGTGATTTTTAAAGATCAATTTCTTCTTAAAAAAGCAAAAAATGAAAATTTTACTATTAGAGAGGCCATACATTAGCTCTTTATTTATTAGTATATACAAAAAGATCATTAAAAAGACAGTCCGTTTTTGTCATTTTATGGGGAGAACGGAGGCACTGTTTTGCAAATATTTAAGTCTGTATCTTAGCGTCACATTACGGCAAATCACCGAACTTTTATATAGACAGAGAAACTTGTGAGACAAATGCATTTATGGGAGGTGCTAAAAATGCAAGGAAATTTTCTTATCTTTTAACTGTGATTATGTGTCGGAAACCTTTCGCTCGCTTCAGTTGCGTCCAAGGCAATTATTACATGGGACACAAATGTGAGACAATTCCGTGCAAAGATAAAATTGTTGTACCTCAAAACAAAGTAGCATTGAAATTATTCGAAATTGATTGTTGGTTAGCACAATTTTGAACCCTCAAATTAACAAGTTTTTATTAAAAGTAAACAGTATTTTTGTTCTTCAGAATTAATGTGCGTAATTTGCACATAGGTATAGGTATGTAATTAAGGTTGGTCTTTCCGTCAGAATGTTTGCAATTTTTTTGCTACATTTCGTACAACATTCAAATTTATTTATAGTATGTCCCAGACCTAGGAGTAATAAACCACCCGGCCTACGAAAGAGTAT